ATCAATCATCTGAAACCCATTTTTTCAAGCCAAAAAGAATTATAAAAAAAAATTTGAAAACATGAGAATTAATGGAAGATGTCTTACCCAGATATTCCCCTTGAAGAAGCCAATGGAGTTGGTGGCATTAGGAGCCAAATCTAAGAAAGATATGCTCAACATAATACCTGCAGCAAAACCGTGCTTTCAAGAAGTCAAGTCTACATAGCCATTGAACATGACCATGAAAGACATTATAAAGTTATGGGAATTGAAAAGGTTGTCAATGGATGATCATCTTTTTATTGCTACATGTATCTGTAACAATCATTTGAAATACTGGAATTCCTATTCTAGTAGTTCTTTCGTAAATGGTTTGGCTCAACAGCCTAGAAAGAAAATAATATGGCAACAAATACCATGTGGCCTTACCTGCAAAAGACCAAGCATCTCCAGATTTGGCGTTGGATTAATGACAAACACAAAATGCACCTGTTAAGAAACAAAATAAGGTCAATCTCCTGAAAAATACCATGCAAAACAAAATTCTATAAAAACATCAGCCACACAATTAAATATCCAAACTTAATGGTACAATATTATCATAAATTGAGTGGGCATAATGTTCTCTGAAAACCTTGATAAGTATCCAAATGGCCCTTTCAAGTCCATAAAAAATAGTAAACCTTAATGACCAAGAGGACTTCGAAAATATGCAATGAAACAAAGAGCTCAAGTAGCATTTTGTTGTTCACGTGGCTAACTATAAAAATTTTCATTGTTCAAAAACTAAAAAATATGTTCGAAAAATATACATGAAAACATAATGCAAAATAAATCGAAACCACAAATAACAAAGATCTCTAATACTAATTACATCCTTCTATCTAATAAACAAAATAAACATTCCCTGCAAAAACAATGAATTTTACTATTGCTCAATTCAACCTCTTTCTTTGGATGAGCTTGCAATGACAAAACCCAATGAATTATTGCTTCTTTGTCAATTTATAGACAAAAAAATATCATGTTCAGGAGGCATGACATATAACTTTAGAGCATTTGCCTAGTTAGATCAATAAATCCAATAATAGCCTGTTTTTCCTAAATGCTTGAATTCAATATACTATTTTATTATCAAATATTTACTTCCTCTTTCTACCTCTTCTATTGTTTAGAAGAAAAGTTTGGGGCGAAATTTGTCCAACTTTTTTCATTCCACTTATTGTCGGTTACAAACATTTGAAAGAAAGGTTTCATATTAACAGATGATCATTTCATTTCCCAGAGAAGAAAAATGGGGTTGGCATTTACCCAAAATTTGAAGCATTGGAGTTTACATTTCAAAAACAATAAATTGCACATTGGCATCGAAGTTACACTACAATGAAGTAGAAAAGAAAAATGCAAAATGCTTCAATGTTCA